GAGTTTGGTTCATAAAGGACAAATTCCCACGGCAGGGTTTGATCTAAAATGTATTTTAAAATAGACTTAAAAACATGTGTTGTAGAACATAATCCAACTCGTAGTTTTGGTGACCGCCGTTATTAACCGCTTTAAAAGAAACTCCAACGGCAGGCCTATGAGAAGTAACAACAGTCCTCGTCAACAGCCAATCAGAATTCAGCAGAGCACCAGGCAGTCACTCTGCGCATGCGCAACACTGAGCGTACTTTCGTTGTGAACGTAGCGACCTGTCAAGCTAATTTAAAACACAATTTAAATAGCTAACTTTAAAAGCTATTAGTCTAATTTATAAAAAGATTAATAACTGTAGCATTCTATAAGTATGTATGTCTTTCTAAGTGGCTGTGTGCCACTAAAACTACTTTTACTGCTGCTAACAGGTGGCGAAGCATGGTTACTGCATTGAGATTGATCAGTGTTTATAAAATCCTCAAAACTATTAAAGTTACAATGCAGGTGCAGCAACTGCAGGTTATGAAGGTGAACATGTTAAGAAACAATTATAACTAAACAAATGTAGATATGTGATCCTAAAATGTCTGAATCTAAAATACCTGGTAAAAATGGTATCGTGTCTTTTTTGTTTTTCTTACTAAAGAAGGGACAATTCACGTTGATTAACATGAGCAGCTGTTCCTGTTTCAATTCAAAAGAGCGCTCAAGAGTACCAGCAATCATAAAAAGCCCTCTGTGAATAAGTGAAGTATCCAACATGTAATTGTTACTTCTATATCCCAGTTTGCACAAAGCGCGTTAGCTATTTTTTCAAATGTTGCAATTCATGCCACTGAAAACCTCTCCATGCCCTATTTTCTGGTCAAAGCATCCTTCCTCTGGTGATGTTGGTGGCCTGACCGCCTGTGGCTCCTGATTGGCTGAGAAAGGTGGGCGTTGGTCAACACAATCCGGCACTACTGACACTAAGGAGATTTGTATGTGTGTACAACCAAACTTACTATGAATGCTTTGTAAGAGAGTGAAAGGGCATTTGGTTCATAAAGAGCTTTACTCTCTTTGGAGCCAAGATTACAAACTGAAGAGAATTAATGAAACACCACAAATGTTAGGCTACATTGTTAGCGTGACGTGAGACTGATAAGCGTGTGAAGCTGGCGGCTGGTATAGACCAAGCAACCAGAAGAGAAGAGAGCAGAAAATCACCTCAAACTCTTTGAAGAAGCAAAACAGATGAAAATAGTCCACAGAGGTCAACTACAGTCCACGATTGAAGGGACCGTTTGACTTTAGTTTTGTCTTTTGTAGTTTACAAAGTCATAAAACATTTCTTAACTCAGTAATAGGGATACTACTTCATCTTTATCTTCTATTTGAGAATGAAATGTGACTCTGGAGGCTGGATTTCAGCATCTTCCTGTAGTGGAAATGAGCACAAAAGGGATTTATGACAGACAGCTGCTGGCCACATAAACCCTGACTGTCATCCTCATCGATTAAACAACTGCAACAGCAAGCAATATTGCAGACTTATTATAGGGATTTTGAATTACAGCACCGTTGAGATCCTAACTATTGCTCCCGCTGAATGCCAATTAAGCAATATCCGTTTTTATAATTTTTTGATTCAATAAAAAGATAGCAATTTCTGCAGGAACCAATAAACACTTTATACACTGTTATTGGTTCTGATCAAGTTGCTCATTAGGAATTACTGAAATGTGTCCAATCGGGGAGCATTAAAGACAGGAATGGCTTGACTCAGCAGGTTAAGCTAATTTCAATTACAGGACTGCTATCAGCACCCAACAGCCACTACTGCACTTCATATGATTGCATAAATGTCACATACATAAATTAAAACTTAAATATTCATGAGGGTTTTTTTTTCTGTATCAATGTTGTGGACATTTCTGGAAGTCGTTTATGAATAGACACGTTAAAAGCACATGTAAAAGTTAATTTACCTTTTTTTAAGACTAATTAATGTTAACATTAATCCGTCTCCTTTTTTAACTGGATTGCAGTTTGGTTTAAATACATTTCAGAATACTTTGTTGATTTTGCCATATACATGCATTAATTGCAAAACATCATTCTCATGTTGTGCCTCATAATGAAATAAAAACACACAGGAGCTTAGCTGCAATAAAAAGCTCCTTACCAGAATGCCTATAACTACAGGGTAAAGGTAACATCATTTTGCGAGTCATTTTGCAGTAAGATTTGAGGGAATACATGTCTGCAAAAGGGCACATGAGCCTCTGAGGGAAAACATGCCAACACATGAAAACATTTTCCAAATTGAACCTTCAGGGGGTTTTTGAATACGGAGCACAACGTCTGGCAGGCAGAGATTTAATGAACATAATGAGAGGCTTATAAATCACAGAGAGACATCTATAAATGCAGGTTAATTTTTCTGACATATAGGCCTGTGTTTAAGGTGCTGTTTACACGGGAACGAAACGGGTTGTATCCGTTACTTTTCTCTTTCGTATAGCCCGTTCGTTCACACGAGGCCGTAACGGAACCGCGGAAATGGACCCCTAAAAGGGTAACGGGTCCCAAGGTGGATAGATCTGCGGACGGAACGCTCTGGGGGGCCAAACGGCTCCGTGTGTACGCCCTATACGATCATTTCCTGATAACGATGAAGCCATAGCCCCGCCTCTACCCACCTCTGCTGCTCACTGCTGTAGCATGGTCAGTAGCTACTGCTACTGATCATGCTACAGATGTTAGTGCAAAATCTACAGCTCCACCACAACCATCAGCAACAAGTGGACATGGAGAACTACATGAACTACATGTTGCTAAATCCACCGCGGAGAATAAACAGAAGGGCAACCAGACTACCATGCTCGGGGGTCTTCTTCACTGCTTTTGGTGTATTTTGTGGCAGAAGTACAGCGCCACTTACAGGCCCGGCATATGTACTACAGCGTCTCCAGCGGTCTCGTGTGAACGGACATGTTTATTTAGCCGATTGCGTGTGAACGGAAGACTTTGATAGCGAATTTGGTTCGTTTGCGTTCCCGTGTAAATGGGGCCCCAAGTCATTATAAGGATAAAACCAAGCCTAGATTTCCATATTCTTTAACCTCTTAAGCACGGCGGTCCCCCCATTGGACCCCTCCCACCTTTTTGTTTTCGAGATAATGTCTCAGGGCTTCTTAACATTTATGAAACTATTTATGTGTAGCACCAGATTAACGGGAAGAATCTCAGCTAACTGAAGATATGAACCATTTTTACCAAAACAAAACACAAGTCTCATAAGAAGGGTCTAAATGACCCCTGAGCGAAAAGAATCTAACGCACTGCGGCACACAATTCAAGATAAAGATACCCTTATTATCGTAGCTGCACATACAATATAGCCGATTAAAGCTGAGACTCCACTGATTATTTAGTTATAGTATCATCACTGAGCGATCCTAAATTGCGACAGGGGAAGCAAACACAGACATCACAACACGTACCTTTACGGAGCTTTTACGGCAGATCGTCTCACCGTAGCTGTCAATTAGGTCAAAAGACGTGTTCAATGGCATTAAAACGAAAAAAAATATATCTACAACTGTTGATCCATAGGTTGATATTGTACCTGTACCTTTTAAAAAATTATTTATAATCCATAATTCCATTTTTTATGTAAAAATCGGAGCGGAAAAGTTAGCTGCTAATGGTAGCCACCAGAGTGTATGCAGCTTCCGGTTTTGGTAACGCGTCACTCTCACTCCTTATTTGTTAACGTTTTGGTGTGTATATAACTTTCCCTCGATTCCATTGGCTCTAGCGGTTATAAAGAGATTTCATTCATCAAAATCGACCAAGGGGGGCCAGAGATAGGTCAAATCCACCCAAATGACCCCAGAAGTGGGGTTTTTTGGCTAAATCTCTCTAAAAAGGTCAAATTTCACTTGTTTTGCATCAATCTTGATACAGGGTACTTATATGTTGTACTTTGGATTCCTAAAGCTTTTAGTCTACTAACCCATCATCCAAGGGTAGTTTTCACTATAAGTAAAAAATAATCTTTGGACGGACACTATAATTTACAGTTTTTTACTATGTAAAATCTGAATTTTCTTTAAAATAAAAAACATCTATATTGATTCTGACTTTTCTACATCCAACTCACAGGTTTATCATTACTTTGAGAATAAAGATTATTAATTTAACCCTTTTAGAAGGGAAGATATGGTCATTTGTTCTGGGAATGTCATTTTCGAGCCTGAGACCTGAAAAACAGGCTCAGGGCTTAAGAGGTTAAGAGTGTGGTAGGTAAAAATACACTTTGTTTTCACTCACTTAAGAATCACCCTGTTTTGATAATGCAAACTGATGTAGTATGCATCCCACTAGAGTCAGAGATTAAATAGCTTCTTATTTAATGTCTTAAAACTAAGAAGTCCTGTTGTTAGGACAATTACTTCTGAAACCCAGAACTTTATTTGAAATTGCAGCTCCGATTGAAAGGTTTCCAAAAGGAAAAGTGAAAGTTATCCCTTTTTTTTTTTTTTTTTAAATTGTTTTGTTTTACTTTGGTAACTGTCTCTTCTATATAAAATGTATTACATGTGTTTTTCGAAATAGCAGAACGTGACATTGAGAGAGACACATACAAAAATACAAAATGCAATTAGGTGGTATTAAATAGTCTTTAGTCCCTGTGAATTAAGTTAAATGCAGACTTTGCTGCCACCCTGTGGTTCAACTCCAACAAAATCAATTGATCTAAAGACCCAATTTGTTTGACATCGAGCCTTGTCATGCAGAAAGACATCGAGGCAGTGGATGTCTTTATATGGGTCAACAAATGTCCAAAACTGTCACATTATTTATTGATTACTGACAGCGATATTGTAATCCATCACTGCCTTCATTTGTAATTAATGAAGGCAGGAGAGCTGTGGAAATGTGGCGTTTAATAATTCAGCATCAGTATTGTGTTTTGTAAGCTGTATTTTACACACGCTGTGAGTATTACAAACAACTGTGTGTACATGTTTATTCAAAACAAGAGGAGAGAATGAGCAAATATTTATATTTTTCAACATAGCTACCTTTATTGACTACATTCAAAACAAAGCCTGTACACGACATTGAGCTGTTTTCTTTCTTCTGTTGTCAAACAAAAAGCAAATATAAGACTTAAACTGCAGTCCATGAAGATGTACGTATATTGTCATAACGTCAAGGGGGTAATTCACACTAATTCAATCAATAGCAAGCCAAAGTCAGAAAGAATCAACAACTCCAGATCAATAACCTCATCACATGTGTATCTTTGTCCCGCAGCAGCAGCAGCAGCAGCTCATCATCAGTGCACAAAACACCATTAATCATTCCCACCACAGAGGTACAGTAGAGCCTTCTGGTAGTCCCCATCTGTATCCTCCTGCAAAACAACACACTACATTATTATCAGAGATGGCAAAAGTACACACATCCTTAACTCAAGTAGAAGTACAGATACTCGGGTTTAAAAATACTCTGGTAAAAGTAGAAGTACTGACTACATTTCTTTACTCAAGTAAAAGTAAAGAAGTATGGGCTTCGAAATGTACTTCAGTAAAAAGTACCCATAACTAGCAGCTGTTTTAAAGAGTACCTGACCTCCCTTTATATTAATAGAACAATAATGTCATTGTTAGCTAATGAATGTTTCCATGCTGAACAACGGCAACGTTCTCATTGGTCCCTCTTCTTTAGAGAAGACCAGGAAATGATGGATACACGGATCGTGTTCAAATCAATAGGCACGCAATTGACTCTAAATAATAATGATCACGCCACCAAACACACATTAAAAGTAACAAACCTGTTTTGAAGTAGAAAGTACAGGTATTTGTGTTAAAAATATAAGAAGTAAAAGTAAAAAGTCGTCAGAAAAATAAGTAGTGGAGTAAAGTACTGATACCAGAAACATTTACTTAAGTACAGTAACGAAGTATTTGTACTCCACTACTTCCCACCTCTGATTACTTTACATGTTATAACATTCTGAAGGTTCCTCTCAACTTACTAAATCAACTCCGGATCAATATATCACATGTTCTTTTCCATCTGATTTGAGCTTTTGGCACCTGTGTAATGCATGTAAACTATATAGGTGCAATTTCAGGGACTGCAGAAGGAAATTAGCTTTTAGCCGCAATCTGGCATGATAGCATCTTTTCTCTCTTTGAGATTAAAGTAGTTTTGTGCGTGGTCCTTGTTTAATAATGTAGTATCCTAATATAGATTAATATGTTGGTCTATTACAGTTTATTCTCACTTATTTGGTTTATACCGTTTATTCTATATATATATATATATATATATATATATATATATATATATATATATATGAATTGTTCTACTGTTATTTGTTGACTCTTGTGCAATGCATTTTGAACATTACAGTTTCAAAATCATGAATAAATAAAGCATTTTTTAGTATTAGTAAATCTTTTTGTTGTACTTTTGTTTAAACGCCCTTTGGGTATTTTTTCAAGGACACCTCCATGCCACAATGTCCCTTTCTGTCCGTCTGTGTGGGCGTTTGTGTCTCAGGTGTTTGGATCGTCTGCTCCTCCTCCCCACATGTCAAAGTGTCCTTGACTGAGACACTGAATCTCACATTTCTCAAATTGTCATTGTAGCTTTTCACTAATGTGTCTGACAAATGAATATAAATAATTAATGTTTTTGTCAAACGATAGACTTTGGCTTACATAAGTTTTCTTTTTCCAGGCACTCAGCATAGTTAGTTTATGTGAAAGCTTTTAACAAATAGGATGTGTGTTAATATGGTACCTCATCACAGAATGAAAAGCACAGGTGAAACTAATACATTAATAATGACTCATTTCAAGGAGCCAGCGTGCAATTGCAGAAAACCATCATGCACTTTACCATGGTTGTGAAATATAAATGAAGTGCAGCCACAGTTATTAGTTACACTTGTGATTGACATTTTAAAATATAAGCAGAGAGATTAGACGCAAATCATAAGAAATGAAATCATTGGGAGTAATACCTCTTTCAAATATGACTACTTGTGAAAAATGAAAGGAATACTTGAAGTAATAATTGCTATAATAAAATGGACATTATTTTTGTAGTCTTTGCTGCTGCTACCGGAGGATGGAAATAATTCTTCACTGCAGGAACATCTGGCCCCGGGAGAATTGATTAATTTCTCTTCAGCTCTTGTGAATAGCATCTCATCTCAGTCTCATCACGCTGCACAAGTCATTTAAAGTAAATTACTAATCTTTACTCCATCACTGCACTGACATGAATGGTGTATTAGCAGCGGAACGGTAGTACACCCAGCTGCGGTTTTAAATCATGCAGAGGGAGAGATGGGCAATTTTAAAGCATCGGGGGAAAAACTGTGAAGAGAGTAGACGTCTTGGAGAAATATATTTACTTTCTTCTGAAGGTTTGGAGCTTTTAGAACGTGTTATTCAAATTAGAAACCGTAAAAAGGTCGATAGTAACTTCAGTACCTGGATGGTGGTGTAAAGAGAAGCTCCATATTTCTTTTTGAAGCAGGTCCTGATGTCCAACATGTCTATCTCGCTCCTCGACACCATAATCCTTATCAGGGTGGAGTCATCCGTTCCAGCACGCTAATATAGAAACGAATTCAGCAGTTGGGAGTTAATAATCTATGAAATTGCATTTTCTTCCAGCTTTCTATTCCACAATACTATCAAACATCCATCTTGATCAGTTTTCTTTTCTTTCAGGTGCTTCAAAGACACAAGGGACATTTCCCAAATTAGAGTTTAATCCCCTTCCTGTTAATCCACTTTGGGAAGAGATGTTTGCACTTGAGAAAGATAATTTCAAAGACACAACTGCCTTTGTTTTGAGAAGGTAACCATTTAAAGAGACTACCAGTGATTTGAGACGTTTCAGCTTTTTATAATCATACACACTGCACACATTTTTTTCAATATTTCTTTCCACAATAATGGCTTTACCCCATCATTAAAATCCATGAACTCTTGACAACCTGCACTGTGTGTGTGCACCATAATGTAACTACCTGGACTCGCACATCCAAATTGAAATGTATATATATTGAACACACCCATAATTAAACATGTCTGTATATATGTAAACACCTTCATTTTAAGTTATACTGAGATTGTTTTTACACTTCTTATCATTACATTTATTTACGTCTATTACTATTCATATTAATATCCTTGTGTGAATTAAAAGGCTGTCCAATATTGTGCTTTTCCCCTTGTTGCTACACTTGAATTTCCCTATGCGGATCAAAAGATATCTTCTTATTTTATCTTAAATGCATACTTTACATTTGTGGATGCATTTTTCCAACCAATTCCTGCTTTGAATAAAACACATATATGTTTAGGATATGTAAATGTTTTAGTCACAGTCTGCAATTTTGGGAAATACACTTTGGACAGAGCCAGGCTCGCCGTTTCCCCCTGTTGACAGTCTTTGTGCTAAGCTAAGCTAACTGGCGGATTTATATTTATCGTGCAAACATGAGGGTGGTATTCATGTTCTTATCCAACTAACCACAAATGCTTTCCAAAATATTAACTATTTCTTCCAACTGCATTGATTTAACCCTTATGTTGTGTTCGGGTCTCACGTGACCCGTTTCAAGTTTAAATTATATAATAACTACGCTCTAGTTTTTTTTTTATCGGAACAAGGCTTCATGATATCCTCCACAACAGCTATATAAACACTACTAAACAGATTTGGACAATTTTAGCTAAGTCTGAAGGTCACTTAAAAAAACAAGTGTATAATTTGGTGTTGGGGTCCCAGCAGAATTATTGTGGGTGACTCAGGGTCAAATTTGGCCCAATCAAGATTCATCTTTTACTTTAGACACCCCAGCCCCGCCCCCTTCATCCACTGTAACAGTCATTTTTTGCAACATACACCTGAACATTTGCTGTCAGATGCTGTCGGGCACGTACCCTCATAGATTTAGACAGGCCTTCAGCGAAAAACTCTGGGACACTCCTGACACATTTCACTGTGGAGAAAAGAAAGAAATGTAAAGGTCATGTGTGAAATGACTTTTTTGTCATGTTAATCTCTGCTCTCTACTGCCAAGTGTTATCTTCTTCTGCTCTATTTCATTCCAACATGCATCGCAGGAAATAAAAGCTCCCATTCTTCGCCGGCTGTGTGATCACTGAGGTGTCATCCTGATGGATCACAGGTCTTACCAACAGCCAGCAGTAAGTTCTCAAAATTCCCAGTGGTCTCTCCCTCAATGCTGTCCTCTAGTTCAGAGCCAGAGAGCTTCTCGTAGGCATCAAACACTGCAAAACAAATACAGCAATACTTCAATATAAAACATGTTTTACTCGGCATTAAAAAGATTAGAAGGTTTTGACTTCAGGGCAACTCATTGTGTGTTATATTGCATCTTGTTTAATGTAGCCCGTTCATTTTATTAGGTAGAATATTATCCGCCAAAAGCACAACCATCACATTATCACTTCACCACTTGATATTGTGACGCATATCAAATAGCTTAAAGGAAACATTTGCAGCCTTTCAACTGGATTAATATTGTTGTTTTTAGGGTTGTTTGTGCAAATGAGCCAGTGTGCTTGGAGCCATGTTAACACAGTGATGCTGAACGTCTTAATATACATATAAGTATTGTTAGGAAAAGTACATTTTATTTTTACAAAATCTAGCTGCTGTAAAAAACATATGTGAGAAAAGCAACTTTTTCCTAATCTGTTTCACAAGGTGCACCCCCATTTTTATACCATTGTGAAATTTGACTTTTACATTTTCTAAACCTAAGAGCAATATATAGATTTACCTTACCTATTTTGTTAACATATCCTGAACCTGTCACTGTGGTCCTGCCTGACTCATCATACTGCTTCCCTGATGGCTCCCACAGGATTGTTGACATCCTCGTGGATTCATCTTCTTATTATAGACACATGCATTTCCAAACATTTGGTCTACCTATGTTGTAAAATGTATTATCTTTTCGATTTACACACGGCATCTATTGCACGTCTGTCCGTCCTGGGAGAGGGATCCCTCCTCTGTTGCTCTCCCTGAGGTTTCTCCCATGTTCCCCTTTAAACTGTGGGGTTTCTCTGTAAGTTTTTCCTTGTACGATGTGAGGGTCTAAGGACAGAGGGTGTCGTATTGTCATACTGATATTCTGTACAAACTGTGAAGTCCACTGAGGCAAATGTAACATTTGTGATTTGGGCTATATAAATAAACATTGATTGATAGATATCCCAATTCCATTATAACCCAACTAGCTTAGAATCTGCTTACTTGGCTTAGTTTGCTTCATATCTGACACTTTGTAAATGTGAATAAAGTCTATTATTACGAGTCACGAGTGTTGCAGGTCATTTTGGAAGACACTTGCATCCTTGTTATCCTATTGTTTAGCTGTGAGGATTTGTTTACGCACCTTAATATGAAGTTACTCTAAAGAATCACGTTCACCGTTTCCCTCAGCTATGGTAACCCGTTAGCTGACCTGTTTCTTGCTGCTCGAGTTCATCCACTTAAATGTTCAAGTGTGTCGTCGTCTGACTCACAAACCGGCTTAAACCGCTCTCCATTTTCCTCTGACCTCTTTCTGTTGCAGCCAAACATGTTTACCCCTCGGGACGAACGGGTTGTTTTTTCATCAAACCTTAATAAACTCTGCTGCTTCTGCTTTGTTTGAAACGTGTGAGCTGTTTATATTGGTTTGGTCTCTTATTTTTAAATACTTTAAATTATTAATGAAGTCTTGGTCAGCAACAAATTGTTCCTTGTCCTGTTTCCCTTGAGTAATGCCGTTTCCAACTTTTGACTTTGCTCTTTTCAACAGGTGGCTAACAAATCACACACTGACATATATTGTGTTGGCACAAACACACTCACCTTTTCTGAGATGTTCTACCCTCCTGTTGCCAAGAATTGTGATGAATGGTTCCTCATCGGTGCCAAACCTTCCCTCACCAGCGTCAAACAAGGCCTGAAATGTCAGACACACACTTTTACACACAGGAAACCTTGTGTACATGACGTGACTTATTCACACCGGCAGAGCAGGAATGACAGCCCTGATGGAGGAGCTCGTACCGCGTCAAAACACGGAAAGCTTTCTCAATTCGTCTTTGCTACGACAGAGAAATTAGAGTTCTCCACCTGCGGCTGTATGCATGTTGTTCTCATCAAGTTTTAATTTGTGCAAATGAAGCAATAACATTGATTCTTAATGTTTAATTATGCATAGTGTATTTCTGCTTCTTCTTTGTTTCGCACACACATAAAACTGAAGAAAATCCAGAAGAAGAAAAGCGAACAACATAAGGAAGTTGTGTCTTTCTTACATACAGTATGTTAGAAAGACTAAACAAGTGGTCTATTGTAACTAACCACAAATTCTTTTAATAGAGTTGAGTTGAGTTGTTCCATTCTATGCTTTAACAATACGCTCTGGTTGGTAAATTATTAAATATTCTTTAAAAATACAACACTGTATAAAATGAGTCATTTATCCATAATTATTAAGTCCGTTTATATTTGATAATTATTACTCTTATCTGTACTTTTACCTAATTGACATTTGTAATTCATGACTACAACTAGCAAAGCATTATTAACAGACTGTGATATTTCTACTATGACTTACAGTAAGGATCTTCCTTAAGAACAGTTGGTGACATTTAATACTTTAACCTTTTGTTACGAGTCAAACAGAACTGGCATGGTAATTTTATTTCACATTCAGACACATGGGATCACTTGATGTTTATTACTATAGATCCCAACTCACAACTCAATAAGTAATGAGTAATGGCCCATAAAGGTCAATATGAAACCAGATGTTACATTCCTGGATGTTGATATTCTTTAATTAACTTATCCTATTATCTGTTTGTCTGACCTTTATGTTCACTGCACTGTGGGGAGCAAACTCACTTACATGATCACATCCTTCACATGTTGACATTTGAAAAGAAGACTGTGAAATTAAGTCAAAAATGCATTGTACCTTAGAGGTTTCTTAATGTTTTGCACAGGATTTCTGCATCATTTTCAGTTCTTAATGTATGTTGCATTTTATAAACAACACATTCCTTTCAACACATGAAGTGTAAATAATTAAAACCACAGTGCTTTCAAAGAAAGACTATCAAGAGTGTTTTTTGGGGTTTTTATCGAGCCATCAGACTTTTACCGTCGGGCTTATGTGCTGACTACTTCTCGGCTGTTGCCAGGCAACTAGAAGTTACTCTGAAAAAAGTACTCGTATCTTTAAGTAAGAGTACACAAGTATTAGCTTTAAGTTCTTATTATTTTGAGTAGCCACTTTCAGAACAAAGTGTGATATGATTGAATTATAATTGCTGATGCTTTAATGTTGCAGCTTAAAAAAGGAGCAGCTCTGTCTCTTTACTTCGGCTCTGCACAATTCATTATAAAACCTCAGTACTACTAACTACTGAGGTATTCTACATGTACCATACATCGAATCCACACTGCATTAGGACCCACGACTATTTGGTCTTCCAGAGAATGATCATGTTAAATCTGAGAGGGGTACTGGTTTTAAAATGCGTCACACATTAGATGAGAAAATCCCTTTGACTGATATCGGGATGAATTGTTTTTGAAATAGTTTTTTGTACTTTATGTTGATGTCCCTGTCCTGTTACCTGCATAATGTATTGGTAATGTCTTTATGCTTTATAGTTTTATATGAACTGTAACAAGACAGCTACTGTATATGGCGGCCAAATTACTATATATTTTGAATGAGTTAATTTAGTGTAGTACTCTAGTGGAGTAATTTCTAGTGATGTGAAAATGCTTTGTGTCGAAACAAGACATTCTCGTGTTCTTTCTTACCTTTGCGTCTTTATCAATATTTTCCACGCCTAGTCCATCCTCCCTGCTCCCCTTCACAGACGGACGGCAGACGAACATAGAGACACACAGACGAACAGAGAGACACATAGACAGAGACACACAGGTAGACAGACGAACAGAGAGACACACACGTAGACAGACGAACAGAGAGACACACAGGTAGACAGAGAGATGGACAGAAAGAGGAATCATGTCAGTGTGGATGGGAAATCCTCCTCTCAACACGTAATACCTGAAAAGGACATTATCTGCCATGTCCCATCACCAAGAAGATTACATTTCCGTCTGTACACCAAAACACATTTCTGAAACCAACAGTGTTCGTGTGCTGTAAACCCTTCTCCCCTTCACTCCTGGTCCAAACTCTCATGCCTGTGTAATGTAATGGCAACACCGGAGGCTCTCATTATTTGGAAAGGAAACATAAGTCTTTGCAGCAGCAGCCGCCCCCCGCCTCGCTACCTGCAGCAGGATCACCAGTAGTCTCTGATAGTGCCCCGAGGTGTCACCGACGATATCTTTCTCCAGCTTTCCGTTGTACTCTGGGGGAAAGAGGAGAAGAGGGGCAGATTGCTTACACTACTCACACACAACGGTCACTAATGGCTCTGCAGGAGGATCTCCCCCAGCAGAGATTGGATTAGTACGCTAATGGACACCACGGTCTTCTCTTATCCAAACCAAATAAACTGTACGCTGTTGCATTTGTTGTCGCAGAGTATTTTTTTCCCATTGTGGTTTGTTGCAATTTGAAGCTGGTGCAGCAGGGGTATGAGTACGCTTTTTTGCACTTCCAGGTCCCCTGTCTTGAATTAGTGTTTGTGTTTAAATGCCTAAAATATGTGCCGTGGTTTATAAAAGGGAACATGATGTTTTATCAGCCAGTGGAAGAACAAACCACTCAGCACTGTTATTAAGACTGACACTTAAAGATGCAATTTACCTTCTTTTCTGTGTATGAATTGTAAGATGTACCGTGTATGGCGAGTGGTATTTTATTTGTATTTGTCAGTGACAGACACATTTCCATTACATCTCAATTTAATGGACAATAACGTATTCTGAGGCTGAATAGGAATCTTTATAATTGGCGTTATCAGAGGTTTATAGATGTGGGTCGGACAGGACCTGCTACACCAACAGGTAGGTTTGAGTAGGAAGGAGTACAAGAAGAATATGGTGACAATCTCGAACAACAGTAGTTATGATAATAACAAAGGCGAAAGATATTATAAAAAGATTGCGGCCTCACATAACGCACTCAGGAAGCCGAGGTCTGCATCCAATGATGAATAAAAAACATGTTTCTCTTTTGTTCATAATGCTAAGAACCAATTTGCCTTTAAAAGCTATTTAAACCCAAACTATTCTTAAACCTAACCAAGATGTTTTGATGCAAGTCTGTTGAAAACAAACCAAAAATATGACTTTCTGGAGAGAGATAATGAACCTAAGAGATGGTGAATAAATACATGAATCTCTCCATTGAATAGTAATTTAGGAGAGGGTTTTCATTATTCGACAACTTATAACACTAAATTCTCCCTCTAGACATTTTGCTCACAGATCAAGCAGGATTGTTTTGATGGTGGAATTAAAGAGTAATTACAGGCTGAAAAGCAGTTAAGTGTTTTGCACAACACAACAGTGATGTCACGATGCACTGACACACCTACAGTACTCTACGTCACAGCTGCGAGATAAGAAGTAAAACCACTGGAAGTCAGTCAAGTTTCTCTTTACACTCTGATTTTACATTTACAACTCGCACTAGAACACAAAGAGCCTGACTTACACTCAGAGTAAATGTGCGTCTGCCTTTGTCTCTCTTTCCCATCGGACTAACTCACCTTTCTTGTACTCTTTGACGATATTTCTAATCTGTTCGCCGGTCCTGGAGGCCAGGATCTCGATCAGCACATCGTCCTCAGTGCCGATGCCCTGGGAACCAGAAACAAGACGTGGATGAGCATTGATTCGTGCAGCAGTGTGTTCTCAGATCTGTCTGTTATGTTATGGTTGGCAAAAAAGCAAAACACACAGAAGCTAAAACAATTTTTAAGAAAAATGGTTGAAGGATATCAGTATGGGTCTGCATAAAAAACGAAAAAGTATGCAATTAGAGCTTTAATAATCTCAGTTAAGAGGGAATTAGCTTTGAGGTTCAGTCTTACTTTAAAGCAAACACTCTTCTCTCGGATTTAATTAACCTTCAAGTGAAAAAGAAAAATGTCTGACAAGTCAAACCAATGGATCAGAAGGCGAGGGGAATGTCAAGGCCAAGTTTTTACTGCTTCGCCTTCACTTTGATTGAACGATTAATTTGTGCTTCGTGTGTGACGTTTCAATGTGATAGAATAATTACCAGGAGCCTGGAGTTTGAAAGAAACTATTTTTCCCTGGGGGGCCCCGTTATGTTCATTTTCAGGTTCTTGTGCCTCTACTGCGACATGTCTTCATGCTTTAATGTTCAAAAAGCTCTTTATTGTTCTCATACCGCCTGTGCTGCAGCACCTCTTTTCACCCTCTGTCTGAAACCAGAGCCCATGTCTGCTCTGATTGGTTAGCTAGCCGGCTCTGTTGTGATTGGTCCACCGCTAAGAGATGTCCCGCCCCTTAGTTTATAACGTACAATGCGTGTGTGGTAGAGAAACTTCCTCTGGAGTGAACACAGGGATTGTAGCCTTTGCAGACCATTTACATGCACACAAACCTATAACACACTACAGGGAAGAGATACAAAAATCCTAATAGGGCCCCTTTAATGCTCTGTGTGATATAAAAAGCAGCAGGTGCTCAGTTTATGATGCCCAAAAGCTAAATAAATCGATATTAAAATATGAATAATTTCTGTAACTATAACATTAATTGGCAAATCTACAGCACCAATACATTATATTTGTGCTCAGATTTTACACCTCTACTTTGCTGTGACATATTTTTCAGAGTTGCAGTAAGTGGATATGAAGATAAATAAAATACAAAACACTGTTCTGTTACAGCCTGCACTGAAACACAAAGACAAAGCACAGGAGGGCAGGCAGTCACAAGGATATTAAAACAAGATTGTATCTCAAGAGTAGCTAATGAAAACCAGCCTGGACCTCTGGAGAAAACAACACCATATGGAAGATGACTTTCATTATGAAGGACTGTATCGAGTTCTCGGCATGGTCATATTTCAAGGGGGTCGTTAAATTGTAAATGTCAACTTCATTTTCAACCCAACACGTGTACCGCAGGAATTTCATTCAATAAGCACAGAATACGTTTCAGTACATTGGTGTAAAAAACAAATCAGCTGGTCATTCTTGGTTTGATACTAAAGCCTGAAAACAACAACAAACATGTTACTATAGTAAGATCTCAAATCATGAGCAAACTATCTGGAACAACTAAAAAAAAAGTCTGCATTGTCCCTTCAAATTACTTGATACAATAAACCTAGTTATATTCCAGCATAGGGTATTCATCACTCTTAGCAGTTTTAATGCCATGTAGTCTACTATGATAAATAACTATTTTAAATGTCAAATCAACACAAAACGTTCTACTCTCACAGTGTGCATTCAAACTTGTTGATCAGGTGATGCTAATGCCAAAGCTCTGCATGCTGTTTTAAGTGCAAGGCTTTAATAGGAAAGAGCCTTCGCCAGTGTTCTCCTGCTGGGACAAGTGGAAGTGAGTGCCTTTGAAAAGGCCCAGTGCTCAGCTGAGTGTTTCAGCATCAGATGTTGGAACATCTGTGCACTAACACCACTGAAAACACTGTTTCGTCTACGGGTTTGAGGCTCATTTGCATATCAAATCTGCAATCTGTATTAAGTATTGGAGGAAAGTTTCATTAGTTACCTTCAGAGCCTTGTGCAGTTGGGAAGCATCGTATGAGGCAGACGGGGTCATCAAGGCCACGATCAAACTCTCAAACAGCCCCCCGAGCTCCGACTTCAGAGCGCTGACCAGGTCCTGATGTGGGGGAAAGATTATTAATAAGAAAAAAACAATAATGTGTTTTTTAACATCAGCCGAATACTGTTTTAATAAATACAGGTTCGATTGGCGGTGTTAAGTTCCTGTTCTTAGATTGTGATCTTTTTTCTATTTAAATCAATTATCCGTTTTTTTTTCATTAAAATGTCTCATTTATCTTTTAATTTGCCTGTTTTTGATACTGCTCCAATCTCAAAATACAATTGCAAAAATATTTGATATCTGTGAATGCGCACAAATATAATTTCATGATTCTTTTTAATATAAATGGACACAATCTGTAATCGACACAATGATAGTCTTTTCAAGAAAGAATAACAATTCAGAATAAAATAGCCAGCTGGGAATTTTAAGTTTCTTCACAGTAAATAGTCCCACAATATTGTATTCCAGCAAAGAAACAAAATCACTTTACAGCTCCCCATTAAACTATTACAAATAAGGCAAGGAAACTTCCTAATTAAAGCAGCTACATGCAAAATCTCTATAACTGAATAAAAAGTAGTAGAAGTAGTAGTAGTAGTGGAAGTATAGTAGTGGAAGTATAGTAGTGGAAGTAGTAGCAGCAGAGGAAGTATAGTGGAAGTAGTAGTAGTGAGTATAGTGGAAGTAGTGAGTATAGTGGAAGTAGTGAGTATAGTGGAAGTAGTAGTCGCATAGAAAACCCCCAATGACAACATTAGGGCTAAAATATTAAGTGATTCTTCAGAAATCATTATAACCCTTGCTCCTCCCCCTGTTGCTGACATGACTATAGTAATAAGAACAAGACATGTACCTGCAGAGATGCGTACAAAGTATTTGTTTTCTTTGCTATAACTACCAGCTAATCAAACAGCACATATTTCTCAGACAGCTTTATTGATTTCTGTCATCACATATCAGGGCATTGCTGGGAGCAAACTCTCATTAAATACGGTGAAAAGAGTGAGTAGTGTGTGTGCGTGTGTGTGTGTGTGTGTGTGTGTAACACCCAAGGGATCCTTTCATCTACCGTGCTTGGCAAGTTCAATATAGAGTCAAACACTCATCTCTTTAACGGCTCAATATGTGAGACCTCTAACAGAAATTATACTTATTTCTACATTAAATATCCCATATCTCTTTTCACAAGCCGTTTCGATTTCAAATGAAATTCTAGGAGGGGGATTTTTCAAAAGGTTAATATTGCAGTGCATAAATGACACGCTGTCTGGTATAAACTGAAACTAGCAGCAGAGAAATAAGAGTATGCACTCTACAGGAGATAATAAAATATCTCTTATTTTAGATGGCATTGCAAAACAGTAAGAAGAAATGTTGATAAAAAGGTTTATTTGGCAAAACCCTGTGATATTCAGAGATACTCCAGGAGCAATTTGGTGATTTTCTGATGCACCCGTGTTTCCTCTCAAGCTGCCACTCTGCACTTACATCTGCTTTTCCATAACACCCAGGGAAAGCAAATTAACTCAGCTTTCAATCCACAGGTGGTCATAAAATCCCTCCACAGAGAGATAGGAGTGAGAGCAGGCGAGCGTAAAATGCACAGGGTCGTGTGAGATTAACTGCACTGCACTCTGGTCCATGGAGACTAGGGGAAATTGTCACTTCTTGAATGAATTCTGCCCTGTTTGACTGTTAATACAAAATGTCAAGTCTTGCTCTTTCATTTTTAATGACATAAGAAAGTTATTATTTATGATGGCTGGCTGACTTTTAAAACTCAGCCAGATCCTTTACGTAAAAGTAAAAGTAGCAACAGTTCTGCTTAAAAACCTTCATTTATACTGTAGTTAAAGTAGTATGTGACAAATCTAGACTTTTGCACCTCCTAAGAAAATCTAACATTTTGGCCAATCAGAGGTCAGTTCAGATAGAGGGAGTTTTTGCCAATGCTTCTGTTCGTCCCGTCAGTGCACCAACACTATTAGGAGCCATAACTAATTTGTTAGGTTTAAGCACAAAGAGTCCATGGATTGGCTCAGGAAAATATTGTGTTTTGGGTTCAAATGAATGGCGGAAGTTATTTAAGGGGCCTGCCATGTGGCATGTCAAACTGCAAATGGACCTATTCCCTTTTAAACAGCGGAATATCCTGCTGGAAAAGTTGCTCACGTCTGTGCTTAATAAGGGGCTAAATCTCTCCAACATTTTCTCTTCATCTCTAAAAACGTTGTTGATAACGTAGCTATAATGCCTCGAATCACAGTACGCCATCTCACAGGGCTTTAGAAGCACACAAGTCTGCAAAGAAAACAGAAGGTCATTCTTATAGAATTGCAGCCATATAACGGCATCAGGACTCTAATCACTTTATGCTAATGTTTGAATGGTATGCAATGTCAGGTTGCTCTTTGTAGCGCGTTTATATGCCCGTGCTCGTTTGGTTCGAAGGTCTTTGGACAGAGAGGGAATAGGAGAGCTGCATGATGAGGGCAGGTCGTTTTTTTTTGTTTTTTTCAGAAAACTGCCCACCCTGAGGTAGCACTTGAATTACAATATGCTTAAAATGATAATCAAATAGTGCCTCCCCTTCCCAATATTTGCTTAGAAGATACAGAAGTTATATCAGCAATTTGCACTTCAAACTTGTCCTGCAGAAAAATGTACTTTGACTGATGGATAGTATTAAACAAGTAATACTGTCAGCCACATTCTTAAAAAATAAACAAAATAACAAATGGATGCTAGAAAGGTAAACTTGAGTAGGTGAACTTTATCAGATATATCCGTGCCTTTAGGTGTCTGCACGTGATGTGGTGGACACACTGACATGACCAGTAACCATCCATCAGACTGACAGCAGCTCGTCATCTGCTCAGTTTCCCCTCCAGCAGCTCAGCTTACCTTTCCGTGCGCCTGTTTATACACCGCCTTGATATCCTGGCGCTGATCGTTGCTGCGTGAAGTCAGAAGCATGAGGATGGTGTCTTCATTCGTACCTGCAGCAAGTCATGCCAGCATTAAATAACATCTAATAGTGATGATGGTAATGTGATTTCTATAGCATTTCTCTAAATAATGTTTGCAAAGCGATTTATAAACGAGAAGCATACAACTGTCTGTTGATGCTGCGTAATCATGATTGTGACTGACATGTTCTCTAGTTTTTAATTTGTTGTCTGTATCTTGGTCAGGACACTCTTGTTAGGAGAATTGTTATCGAAATGAAACTTGTCCTTGTTTAAAATAACAAAACATTTAAATTCAAACCCAAGGCAACAATGATTAAAAAAAATATAATTTGAAAACAACTAAACACACCAATTAACAGAAGATGCAATTAACAGATATCATTTGACAGAACATTAAAGTGCACAGTGGTGATTCACATTCAAACCTGTTCATGAAAGTGTGTTTTTAGAAGAAAACCATTATTTTAGAAGCCTAATCTCTTCAGGCATTTTGTTCCACAGTACAGGCGCCATTAGTATAAAATAGAGCTTCACATAATCGCTTGCCAGATAAAGGCTGAATGGTTTGTACCAATCTGTTAGCAGAAGCATGATCTCCTTGAAAATAATTGACAGCGTGCAATCTCCTCCTTAATGAAAAGTCGGCAAAGCCATGATCTAACAAGCAATACTCTCCACAAAGTGACTTGCACCCCCGAGGAAACGGCTCCCGAATACAGTGTTATTTCCGCAGAGGGATCAAAATGTCAAATTAGTCCGAGGTAATTACGGCACAAAGCCCTGCTGATCACTGCTCTGACTGTAAATGTCTGTTCAGGTCGCTATTTTGTGTGTATAGATAGATATAGATAGATATATAGATATATCTACAGTGGATACTTCCCAATTTCTCTTATTGTGAGAGCAATGAACTGACAGGAAGCAAAAAGGTGGTGATTCAGTAAGGTTATATTAAGTAAGAAAGCATGAGTTTTAATGGTTACACAGTAGCACACCTTTAAATCAGTGATTGTCATTTGACCTATTGATTTGCACTAATGATTGCGGGTGTTTTTTGCATTTCTGGAATTAGAAATAACGTCCCCTGAGAGAGGAAGCCAGGGTCAAATGTCAAACTATTGAAATTGCATCCAAGATATGCCGAACAGCTTTCAAACAAAGGTGTAAATTATGTGACATAACGCGACACATGCTTTCAATTATTCATCTGTGGCAAATGACTACTGGGTTAACGGATCTGTGACATTCTGTTTTGTGAGCCTGTGCTCTTAGTACACCATCCACAGGAATACATCAATTACTCACCCTGTGTTATATTTAAATATTGAATGAAACTTGTTTATGGCTTGCCTCCAGGGTTAACAAAGAATCAAACAATTGAGAAGATTCCTGATGATTTGAAGTAAATTGTGCTAAGAGATGTTTTAATTAAGAGTCACGGCCCATTTACTTCAATAAATGGAGAATTTTCTAAATGTTTTGATTGCTCAGGTAAGGGTATTTCTCACTAGTGTGAGTTACAGACATAAGATAATAATTTTGAGGGCATATTATTCCCTTATGTAAAGCAGGCCTATAAAGAGAATAGAGGATGTTGACAATGTGATAGCCTCAAACAATAAATAAATAATAACCCTGCTGTTGTGGCGGCTCACCTTACAGGGAACCCTCACACATGTCCTCTGAGTCACAATACACTGTAACCCTGTAAATATTTCATTATGTTTTGCAACAATTTGGTTTATCCAAAATATTCTGTACAAACAATTCATGCATTTTCTACTTTTTATAGGAAAAACACCTTATTTGGAAATTCATAAATGTTTTGCTTCACTTTAAGATGTCAATTTTAACTGTTAAGTGTCAGTTGTATTGTCACCTCTATAAACTCTTTAGCAAAGATTGATTATTACAATTGTTTTACTAAACATCTGCCTGTCTACATAGACGTTTCTTTTTTGCGGTAAAATAAGTGCTCATTACTGTGGTTTTTTGCATGTAAAACTGTCTTTTTTTGCTATCAACATAAGTTTAAAACTTGGTGGTGCTCAGTTTCTCTTCTAATTAGACCAAGCACACTGTGAAAAGTAAAATTATTTATTTGCACCACAGGAAGAATGTCAAAACTCGGTTAAAATCAACCACACCTGCCATCATACCGTCACTGCATGCTTATGTTTTACTGATTATATGCTTACTTTCTAAGTGTCTTTGCATGATTCAGCCTCATCATTACTCAGTTTTATTTATATGGTGTGATTTTTTTATCTGCTGTCAGGGAACAACAATTGCTTCACTGTCACATTTACAGTGAAGTGCTTTGTCCTTGAGAATAAATACCTAAATTAAGATAAGAAAAGCAAATGGAAAGTCCACACTGACAACTGTGTCATTATGAGTGTCATCACTGATGTTATATTATTTTTTAGAGAGGAGCAGAACAAGCGTTTGATTGCATTGTAAAAATATGTCTTCTACTGTGCATCATTCCACTTCAATTATAGTTCCCCAAGAAGGTGACGTGTGGAACAATGACGTTACTGCCTGGGACAAAGTAGCAGAGAGTGTAATGATGCCTTCTATAAAGAATCAAGCTCATTAATGACCCATGTCTATTTATATTTCTCATATATATATATATAATATAAATTTTCCCCCTTGAATTTATAAAAGATTTCAAGGATCAGTGGGAACCCGTGACTATGTTAGTTGTAACTGCCACCTAAAAAAAACATCCTCCATGTAAATCATTTAGCTATGTTTATATTTCCTTGTGGTGTTACATGCTAAGTGTAAGAATGAAAATCTAGAAAGCCTAAATGAGAGAGAGAACACTGACCTATTCCCTTCATGGCTTTATGGAGAATTTCAGCATCGTGTTTGGGGTTGAAGTTGACGAAGGGTCTCACGCTGCCTCTGTAAGCCTGCGGGAAGAGAGCAACACGAACACATGATGAAAAATGATAAATACATTTAACAAAAACAAAAGTTTCTTTTACTGGTTAGTGAAAGTGCTGTGAAAAACTCTCTCTATGTGCATGAGTTTGCTGTAACAGATGTTTTTAATTTGCAAATTAAATTAATTTTTGTTCAGACAAGTATGTCTTAAGGGAAATAAAACATATTTTAGTTATGACGCTTATTTTCAGGAATCATATTTGTATGATTTGTCTACTGTTTTAATGTTCAAAAAGCTCTTTATTTTTCTCATACTGCAGTACCTCTTTTCACCCTCTGTCTGAAACCAGAGCCCAGTCTGTTCTGATTGGCCTGCTCTGTTGTGATTGCTCAACCTCTTAGCGATGTCCCCTATCACGTACAATGTGTTGGAGCTCTAGCCAATAGAAGTGTGAGTGTTGTGTAGTGATGTCTATGTTACGGAAGTAAACAAAGGAGTCCAATGGAGTCGTTTCAGGCATTTCAGACCATTTACATGAACAAAAATGTATATCACGAGGGAAGGGAAAACCCCAAAAAGCATAAAAGGTCCTCTTTAAGTGGGTTGCTGTACCTTTAAGAGATACAATAATAAAATGAATATTGTTTGACTATTCATTTGTATTGCCCTCTAATGGTCTGTGTATTATACGAGGAGAAGACGCTACCTAATAAGAATAAAAACCATGGGCATAAAACATTTAGAGGTAGGCTACTAGACATTACTGCAGAAGACTGTTGGAAGCTGCACCATAAAAATGAAACTCCATAAAAACCCACCATAACTCTGAGGCAAGTACCTTAACCTCAATCAAGTGTGGCTGCTGCTTTGTGTCATGCAAGTATTTTTAAAAGACACTTGCCGATTGTTCTTCAGGGGAAATGTCATTTATAGAAAAAGCAATAAAAAAAACTGTCTCAGCTGCAGCTCCGATCAACTCAGCAGGAAGGAGCTGTGGGAGAATATTGTCTGCAGCTCCTCTCAGCAAAGTTCTCAGTTTTTATAATCTCTTTTATGATTTGTCATCCGATTTCAAGAACCTCTTTTTGCAATGAGACAATGTTTACTTTGAAGTGTCACTTAAACACGTAATTGTCACAGCTTTAACCCTGCATGCGTCATGAAACTCAATTTAGAGATTTGACACTTCAGTCTCTTTAGAGACAATGCATCTTTGATTCTTCTTCTACGGTAAAAATAACTATGAGTTTTTCAAAACCCACATTCATTACTGGGATTTGAGTCAACGTTTATTGTAAGCTCAATTTTTTTGTCTTTTGACACAAGATTTCGTTTTACAAAGACATCAGTTTTAGCTTTCAAGCTGTCATTTAATTCTTGCCAACGTTGCGGCTATCGTGGTGGTAATATTAAAAGGTGGGGTAGGTAATTTTGGAGAAACCAGGCCTAGCTCGAGTGCGCTAGAATTTGAAAATACACAACCGGAAAAAACACACACGAACGCGCACATGACCAATGAGGGCACGAGATAAGTTTGTGCACGAGATGGAAGGCTGACGGGCAGGTAGGCCATCCAGTTATTTTAGCCGGGCCGGCTAAAATGATTGGTCGTGCTTTTTACAGTATTACGGCTTCCACAGAGGACATTTTTTTATGGATTTTTTGTCAAAGCACTTAAGATATTCATTGCTATCGGGATGTTAAGAGCATTCCATGGAATATAACAAAAAGTGTATCTCGAGCCGGTTTCTCAAACTTACCTACCCTACCTTTAAGAGCATTCCATGGAATATAACAAAAAGTGTTTCTGAAATAAATTACATACCCCACCTTTAAGCACCATTTTGATCTCTCAACAAACTCGAGGATACAATTAAATCCAGGATATCAAATGAAGCTGCTCTCTCTTTTGGGCTAATGTGAGCATACTGCGCGAGTCGTATGTTTTTGTAATGAGTGCATTGTGGCTGAACATCCTTTTAGTGAATTGGGGATCATGAACAAGTCAGGGGATCTAAAGCCTAGGCTACATGTCAAGATTTCACAGTGTAGGAGAAGGAATTAGGATTTAATAAAATTTAAATATATGCAAATAAAGCATTGAGTGTCGCATGCAAGTCGAATGCTGCTGCTGACAGTTATTTGTGATGTGTATTGTTGAAGGCTGATCATGCAGCACTACAGGTCTCGGTGTGGTTTAAAAATACACTGACCTTTCAGACAAGACACACTTCATCACACAAACAGGTTAATTCTGGTGCTGTAAACAACACTAATTACCTCCAACAGTGAGGCTATGCTTGTTAGCAGTAAAAAACTACTGGGCTACTACTAATTGCCATAAAACCTGGTGGAAAGGTGAAGCACTGGTCAAAAATGATTATATTATAGGAGTGGATCACAATAAGATGTAGAGACAATATTATTTTCACTGTAAAAACGGCCTTGAAGAAGATCTGCGCTCACTGAGTGCCATTTGAAATCCACTCCAATACAAACAAAAGCAGAGTTGTTTCTGGCAGTTTTCAAAGCTTAAACTTTACATACTTTAAGGATATTAAATGTAACATAAAATAAAACAAAGAAAGGAAACTCTTACCATTATTGTTGCTGATTGAACACAAACGAAGTAGACTGGAAGAAAGTGCAACAGATTCATATTGCAGGGTTAGTAATATGTAGATGTAGGATGTAGGAAAGTGTAGCCTATACAATGAAGCTCAGCGCAAGTTCTTTCATGAAGACTGGGTAGGCTATATATATAGGCTACATTCACTCCGCAGCTGCATATAATCAGCTCATCACGGGCGTTCTCTTTAACCTATTACATTTCACCTCAATCTCCACCAGCCAATCACCGTGCTGCAGCCAAACTTTAAAATGTTTCTCCTCTCTCCTGCAGTCAGCTGTGATTTCAGGTGTGATTTCAGGTTATCATGCTGCCGCCCGCCTCCTCCCCATCCACCTCCCTCGTCATATCCAGTGCCAGGAGAGCTAATCCAAAGACCTCATCACTATTGATGGCGAGATGAAGCCTTATGAAGCTTTGAAGTTTTCCAGCCAATTGGTTCGCTAAAGGGTTAATCTCATGAGGCTTCATAATGGGCTTCATTTGAACACAAACCCCCCTGTTGGTCAAAGTGTGTAAAACAGGCAGATTTGACATCTCAACAGTGTGCTCTATCTCATACCGAGTTGAGTAAATCCTTAGAATAACTCTAAACAACGAACATAAAATCATATTTTCATGTTAACAATATTGTTTTTATTCCAGTTTAATGATTGTGATTGAAAAGCCTAAGGAGGCTGGTAAACATTGCAAAGAGGGATTTGTATTCCTTAATAATATTCGTAAACTTAACCATGTTGTAGCTTGAGAAAGGCTAAACCATATCAAAGAATACATTTATTAACTACATTATCTAATTTAGCTGTAGCTTTTATAAACAACAAAAAATAATCATGGACCAGTCGTTGAACCAGGGACCCTGCGGTCGTGAGTCAACTGCTTTCCAGCTGAGCCACAGCCCACACACTGAATCTACCTGAAAACACTGGATCCTATTTATTCATTTATTTATTTATTCATGTTTTTATTCCTACATTTATTTATGCGTTTATTTATTTATATTTATGACATGTTCCGACCTCTATATAAGTGAGGGTCTGAGCTCTTAATTCCATTGTGTCACCGGGCCCGGGTACAGGAGGGGTAATATCGTTCTTATACATCCATAGGTATTATGAGCGTTGTGGTTCAACCGATCTAAAGCACTTTCTGAAGCAATCACGTGGTATTGAGGGGCAGCGAGGCTTCGTTTGTCATCGGTGACGTCACTGGCCCAAAACGATACAAGCCTCGATACAAGCTTCACAAAAAACTTCCGGGAATACTCGACACACGGGGTGTTTCTCAATGTCAAGGAAGGATGCTCCAGAGCCACTATTTCAAGGATGCTACGTCATCGAGTCCTGCCGAAGGACTGTTCTAATGTCCAGGCTCCTTGGAATTCTACCGAGCCCGGCGTCCTTCGTAGCGAGACATTTTGAAGCTGCACATGTGTATCCTCCGCGGTCTTAAAATCCCCACAATGCTTTGCGCACGGACCAATTTCCAAATCTTTGGCGGAAATCGCGCTCCATTTAAGGCGGGGCCTCACATATGACGCACACCTGCACACCTGTTAGCCTGTTCCACCATTCTTCGTTTTCCGAGGCTAGGAAGGATTCTTGCCTCGCTTCTGAAGGAAGTGACTCGGAAGACATGTCCTATTATTATTATTATTATTATTATAAGGTAAGGTACATCATCATTAACACTTAATAAGAAGACTACAGAAAGGAACACAATAAATAAACATAATGGAATAACAGATGCATAAAAGAGATACAGAATAGTTTAAAAACAACATTGTAAATATGGTAGGTGCTAAAACACGTTAAAAGACTTCTGGATAAGTGATCATATATGATAATGAAGCGACAGTATATATATAGGAATGAAATACAACACCTATACAGCAGTTAAAAGCAACCCACACAACAATGCAGCAGTAATATGAATCCAAAACAACCTATATAATAGTAAACCATCGACAGGGAACATTTTGCTGCCTATAATCTGTTTAAATTATATTAAAACGTGTTGTACTTCTTCCACCACCGTTAGTATGTTACTCTCTAAAACAAAGCATGAGTCCAGAGGAATTAGAAACCGTAAGTGTTCTTACCGACAGGTGTGTTTCTGCTCTCTCCTCGCAGGTGAAGTGCGGCTCAGGTGGAGCTCTTTATTTTCACAAGGGAAAGCTGTCAGGACTTCCTCTTCCTGCAGGGATCGAGTGTCCCGCGCTGTCAGTGGAAACACGAGATCATGACCTCATCACGACGTTTTTTGTGCGACCTTTAAAAAAGTGACAAAGGGTTAAATATTTAAAAGCAAGTGGGTCTAAAGAGATGTTGTTATGAATAGTGGAGGCCGTTTTAAGACGTTAAAAAATGTTCCGGTGGGGTTCCTGGTATATTTAATTAATGAGAAAATAGTTACTCATCCCCTTAAGTAATTTCTTTTTGCGAATAATAATTATGAATAAAGTGGTAACTAAATATTTGAAAAAAGGAACTCTAAATGTACTTCTGTCTGACTGTATACCCTTTTTAAATCAACATGTTCCGAAATAAAGTAATTAATATATTAAAAGAACAGATGATTTGTATTTGAGCCTTATCAGAGGTGGATTATTCGTATCTTGTACTAAAATATAATCACAGTGACATTCAATTCTACATTACATTTTTACTACATTAGTAAAAAAATACTCAATACAGAAAAATATCCTCTGTCAGTGTTATACTATCTATACTTATTGAATTATACAACCCGAGCCTGTTTCTCAGGTCTCAGGCTCAAAAATGACATTCCCAGAACAAATGACTATAACTTCACTTCTAAAAGGGGTAAATTAATAATCTTTTTTCTCAAAGCAATGACAAACCTGTGAGTTGGATGTAGAAAAGTCAGAATCAATATAGATTTTTTAAATTTTAAAGTAAATTCTGATTGAACATAAATTATAGTGTCCGTCCAAAAAAAAAACATGACTTATACTGGCTGTGTCATCGGTGATACTGTTGTCAACCACCTTATGTACGCAGATCATCATTTCCCCGTACAGTGCAGGCTTACAACAGCTTCTGAGGATTCGTTACCAGTATGGCATTGATTTTAATATTAAGTATAACGCCAAGAAGAGTAGCATCATGATTGTGCGAAGTAAAGAGGATACAAAGGCTGTATTTCCTCATTTTATTCTCAGTAGCAACATTCTTCTTGTGTGCAGTGAGATTAAGTACCTTGGTCATTATATCTCTGATGATCTCACAGATGACAAAGACATCCATAGACAACGCTGCAAACTGTATGCCCAGGCAAACATATTAATGCGGAAATTTCACAAGTGCTCTGTAGATGTCAAGGTATCACTTTTTAAAGCTTTCTGTACACCATTGTACACGGCTCACCTGTGGAGTAACTACAAGGCTAGCAGCATGCAAAAACTAAAAGTTGCATACAATGATGCTTTACGGTTGCTGGTGAGGGTACCGAGATGGCACAGTGCCAGCCAGCTGTTTGTTAACTTGGGGGTACCTACTGTACCTGTCAAGCCCTTTTAAGAAATGTAATGTGCAAATTCATGTGTCGCCTAGAAGAGTCAGACAATCATGTTATCTCGATTTTAATTAACCCTGTGAAGAGTTCTACTCGGTTCTCTTCCATGATTTGGAGACATTGGCGCAACAGCCTCTACAGACGGTGTGGCTAGCTGTAAATGGACTGATTTTATGTTTTTCATCTGTTTTTTTGTTTAGCTTTTTAATCTTATTTATTTTTTGTGTATTTTGTCATTTTGTATGTGATATGGACCTTGAGTCTGAAATAAAGATTGAATTGAATCATAGTGAAAACCACCCTTGAATGATGGGATAGTAGACTAAAAGCTTTAGGAATCCAAACTATAACATATAATAAGTACCCTGTATCAAGATTTATGCAAAACAAGTGACATTTGACCTTTTTAGAGAGATTTAGCAACAACAACAAATACTTCTGTGGTCATTTGGGTGGATTTTCCATATCTCCGGCCCCCCTTGGTCGATTTTGATGATTGACATCTCTTTTTAACCGTCAGAGCCAATAGAATCGAGGAGAAGTTCCTAAATCCACCTACACGTTACCAAATAAGGAGTGAGAGTGATGCATAGCCAGAATACCCAAAACAGGAAGCTGTCATACACTCTGGTAGCTATCATAGCAGCTAATATGAAAACTCAGTTTTTGACATAAAAATGGAATGATGGATTATCAGTAATCATTTCAAAGTGACACAGACACATAAAGAAATGTTTGTCATAACATGTAGAATAATCTGAATTTATAAAATCATAAAGAAATAAACCAGAAATTAAAGTGGACCTATCATGCTATATTTGAATATAGTGTAGGACCATACCTAAGGCATAAGGCATATTTATACTTTTTTTTTTTCAAAATACCAAACAGATCATGCATTTTAGCCATGCCTCATTTTGCTCAATTTGAAATGTTTTAGCTCTGTTTTTGCAAGGGCAGATTCTGTGAGAACAGCACCATCTACAGGCCTGGCATATGTACTACCGCGTCTCAAGCGCTTTCGAACGGCAATGGCCGCGGCTGTCTCCTCCTGATTGGTGGAGTTGGCCCAATAGCCGTAGCGCCACTGTCCTGACGTCAGGACAGTGTTCAAATCTGGATCAGTTTTTATCAGATCCGTTGCAGCCCCTTTTTTAGAGATTTGGGTATGGAGGAAAATAGAGAGGGTTGTGTTTTCTGACACTTGGTGAGTTCCCTGGAACACCGGAGACACATATTCATGTATAAAAGACGTACAAAAGTGCATTTTGCATGATCGGTCCCCTTTAAAGTATACTGTAAATAAATATCCTAATTTTACAGGAAATAACTGTAAAAAAATATATATAGTAATTATCATGTTTTTTTAAATAACTTGCAAAAATCCTGTAAAATTCCAGATATTAACTATAAATTAAAACATTATTTTAAGTATTTTGACAATAAAAACAAATAACATTTATTTAAATATATATAGTAAATGTACTATATAATATTTACAGTATTTTTGCACTTTCAGAAAATACTGCAGATGTACATAAAATACAAATTATTATCTGTGATTAA